GGTCCATTGAATTGGAGAACTTAGGAATAGGGAAAGAATCGAGAGACTGGCTTACCTTGCAGGTTTGTCTTCCAGGCTGGAAGAATACTTTCTATAGAGGGGCTCATCTGGCACTTAGCTGAATGGGATTGGGGTGACTACTTAAGTAAGTGAAAAATGTGCGACTGACCAGTGGCCTGATCCAGTTCAGAGCCCACACAGCTGCATTAAAAGGCAAAGGAAAATGGTCAGGAATTCTGTATCTCACAGATTTTGGCCCCCACCCGCACCCCAGGCAACCTCAAGGGCACAGAAATCCATTCCATTCCTCAGGAGTCAAGAATTGTGTTTTCCTACTTCAGTGCGTCCACTGCCAGTGCCCAGCAAAGCTAGGCAGCTGCCTGGAGCCCCTGGGTCACCACAGAGGTCTGGTGTGACCTTGCTTCCCTGTTCTGTTCTTCCAGCCATCGGAAGACCTATGGGGGGCGGGGGCAGGTTAAGGATCGTGGAAATGAACAAGCATCATGCAGGAGAGACTGGCGTCCTCTTGCCCAGAGAGCCAAAAGCCAGGTGCCCCCCCCCCCCATGATTAATGCTTGGTGGAGCAGTCCCTCCAGGATGCTTTGGCAAGGCTTCTACTCTGTGTCCAAATGAATGTTATGCATCGAGTGAAAACTTCTGCTATAAAGCCAGCTAGCATATATTCAACTGTCAGTCATTTGATACTGCATTAGAATGAATTCTCTATTGTCCAAAATGTAGCCTCAGGTCACGGGCTCTGCCTCACTATACTGCTGCAATCAAGAGCACAGAGGGTTCAAAATGGGCTGAGGCCCAAAGCAGGCAAGGAGGGAAAGTGCAGGGCTGGATTTCATTCCATTTTGTAAAAAAGCCAAAACAAAAAATCTGGACATTTGTACTGATTTCAAGTATAGCCCTCAATGGCCAAGGGATGTGCGTGTGCCCCATCGGTTCTCCGTTTTCAGGCATCCAGCAACACGTAAGTTCTCTTGAGGTTACTCTGCAACCTGAAAGACACCCCACTGCAGTCTGTACCCACTAGACAGAAGTCCACTGCCTATGAATTTAAGTGCAAGGTCCTTTTGCCACGTATCCCCTCTGACCTGCATATTTGCCCGGCACAGTTTCGGCTGGCGTTGGGGACCCAAATCACTCACCCTGCTGAAATGTACCGCAGAGACCAAGCAGCAAGAAACAAGTGCATGCATGCATGCACGGTTCAAGAGTCGCACAGGTACACCGCACTCGGGTACTACAGCAAAACACAGAGACATCACTGCACATGCTCACGTTAATTTAGAATGATTGCGTCAATGAACTTTGGACCCACTGACCTAAACGGCTGCTTCTCCATGCAAGCAGAGCGGCCAGGTGTCCCTCCTCCGCTTTCCCTGGGCACAGCTGCACAGCAGGCTGGGGTCTTCAAACCCAGGTTGCTCACAGGCAGCCGCGGAGTGGTGGACTCGGAGGCCGGTTTCCGGCCGAAAAGCACAGGCAGGAGTGCTGAACTGAGCTCCTCCCTCAGCCTGCCACTTTCCCCCGCAAACCTCTTCCCCACCTGCTGTTCTCCTGTCAGGCTTCAGTATCAGCATAAACACTGCTAATAAGGGAACAGCTGGAAGGAGGGCCGGTGGAGGCCGCGTGGGGGAGAGCTCATTACTGCCTTCCCAGCTGCTGCTCCTCCGCTGGAAACATTTGTCCCCGGCACCATTTAGCACTTTATTGATAGCCACAGAGGTTCAAAGACACGTTTGCCTATCCTATGCAGTGCTATCCCATGTTAACAGTGTTTATTTCTTCCATTGTATCTGTTGATACCAGGTGCATCTATCACAAGTCAATTTGAGCTGCTCCTATTCATGCAATGGGAGCTTGTATGGCAGCTCACACCCCAATATGTGAGGTTGATCTTTAAGGTGCCTCCAGACTCTTGCTTTTGCAGGAACAAACCAAAATGGCTACTCTGAGTTTGGCCCAGTGAAGCGAGTCCTTTGCCACCTGAGATCCCAGCATTGCAGGTGCAACAGAGGGCTGATGTTTAGGAATGTATAAACAGAGGAAGTGTTCTTCTACTCATGCAAGGTACCTCAACCATTGCCACCACCACCCCTAAATACTGGAGAAGAAGGGAAAGGGTTACAAAAAGGCAAGACCCCTTTTGGAAACAAAAAGTGAATGGAGTTTAATTGTCCCGCAACAATATTTAGAACCTCTCTCCCCTGCCACACAGGAAGCGCACAGTTTTCTTTTTCTGGTAGGACTTTATAGTAATGGACTGTAGAATCCTACAGTAGAGTTGGCATTGTTTATTCCACTGTGAAGAGTGGTTCAGTACTATTCCCCCACAAGGCTTACCCATGTCTCTCCTGTTGTTTTCATTACCATTTTCCATACAATGTGTTCCCCTATACCCTCTCTCAGATCGAGAAAAAAATATACATTTCTCAAACATGTGTGTCACATGATATTATCAAATGCACAAATTGCTTGCATTTTTAAAAGACAGACAATAAAAGAACAGATATAAACAAGATGAGCCATTTGGATCAAGTCTGGTGAGTGCCAAGATGAAAGCAGAGTACATTTACACTGAAACAGAATTACCGTAAACATCCAGGTGTAGTCCTGGTCCTGGACAGGCACGTGGAGCATAATTGTTTGGAGGAAAGAAGAAGCAGGCTGCCTGAATCCCGCCCGCACACCCCCCACAATACTGGGAACACCTCGATGCTTCCTGGTGAGGCTGAAGGCTTGATAATGCCGGGACAACGGGAATCTCCTTAGTTCTTCCTTGCAGAGAAGAGCCTTCTGCACCTCCTCCTTCCACATCATCAGTTCCAGCAGAATTCCCCACAATGGACTGACAGCCAGAATGCAGCAATTAAGAAAAATGCAGGAACATGGGGCTTCACCCCCATAGTCACAACAGTACTGTATCCAACGCTCTTCGCCTTCAGAGGTTGGCACAGTAGCATGTAAACATATTTTTAGGAGAGGTGGGCTCCCAAATGCTCAGACACTGAGCTGCCTCCCCATCTGAGGAGCCAGGAATAGTAAGGAAATGAAGAGAAGGAAGAGAGGGACTGAGAAAAAAGCTTTTCTTTCATGCATCTGTTGTGATTATTTCTGTGCAAGCACTCTCGTCCATTGTCATGACCGCATTTCCAAGGGGAAAGTGCAATGCGGGGGGTGAGGGGGAGATAAGTGTCTCTTGACTTTATGAACAGGAGGCCTCCCTCTTTTTTTCCTTCATCCAAAGTGCATGGGACCTTACCAATGACATCCGGATGCAAATAAGGGTTACCTCCAGACCCCAGACCCCTTCCAGATGAAGAGTCTCCTACCTGGGTAGGCAAAGCCCTGCAATATGATTCTCTCCTCAATCTTGTGGCCAGTTGCTCTGCGAAAAGCAAACTACTAGGAAACCATCTCTGAATTGCAGGAGAACAGAATACATCAGGCTTGGTTGGAGATGTCCTTCTGGAAAGGATCGCTTCCTGTCATCCTAAAGTAACCTCTGTCAAGTGTGTCCTTATTTGACATAAGCTTCTGCCACTCGGTCATGACCAGGTGCTTTCCAGCGGCTCTGGAAAATGGATCTGTTTCACGCCATTGTTTTCTCCCACCTTTTCTACCAGAAGGTTGGAGACCCAGAAAGGATGAAAATGTGGGTTTATCCTCTTGGTCTCACTTCTCCCATCATGGCAAATGTCCACAAAGGGGATAACTTTAGACCAAAGTGCATGGCTTTCAAGCCATGATAGCGTTCGCAACCCCCATCCCCAGAAAAATACCCATAAAAATGAGAAGAAAGCTCCACTTACCCTTTCCTTATTTTTGACTGTAATGAGGGTGTGAGAAATAGTTGCATTGTCAACAGGAAAAAAATAGAAAAGAAAGCAGTAGAGATAAGTGGATGGAAAGAGAGGGAAAGTGCTCTCTTTCGATCTCTGTTTCATCACAATTTTGGCACGACAGAGGATCTGGTAATCTGAGGAAAGGCATATTATTTCACACTAGGTGGCACCCACGTTATTCCCTCTGTTAGCCACTGCTTAAAAGAACTCGGAGATACAAAATGTAGAAAAAAAGCAAGAACAAAAGCTCAAATGTAAACTGGAAAGCTGGTACTTAAGCCATGGCGCTTGCTTTCCTTGTTTCTTTGCTTGTCTTCCCTGCACACAACTGGAAAGAGAGGATTCCATGTCTGCTTAAAATATAAAATTGGCAGATGACCCCCCTCCCCTTTCCCTCCCGTGCATGCAGTGCCCATTATTAAATAGGGGAGGAAACCGCACTCCAGCTCCCAGGAAGGCAGAGATAGTAAGGGGTGCATAAGGAGGATTTCTGCAGCAATTTCTGCACACATGCTGGAGAATGAGGTTTGGACTGGACTCACGCAGCAGCTTTGCCCGTCTCACAGGGCAGTCGGTACCCTTGAAGCCTCCCTTCTGGTTCGGATGCATGCTCTGCACCCAGAGACGCCCTCCCTCGGCAGATAGCACCTCACTTCCCGAAGAAGGCGTCAGGACTCTGCCCAGGCCTTTGCCAGCTGGTCTGCTGAGCCACACGTTCTCACGTTCCAATGCTGGCCTGCCTTCTCAGAAGACCCTTGGTCTCAGCAGTCACAGCAGGCAGCAGCGGCACCCCCTCAGTCGCTTTACTAAGCTCTGCATCCCAGAAGCCACGTCCCTTCTGCCTGCATGGCCAGGATCCACCATCAGCCATGTCCACGCGACCCCACTGTCTGGCGTTCCCTGAGCTCCCTGCCTGGGTGTCCAAGGCAGTAGGTCTTGAAGGCTCAGCCCAATGTGTGCAGGAGGAGAGGCGGACGTAGCAATGCCCAGCACGTTTGGTCCTTGGCTTACCTTCAGTGAAACTAAAAACGAACTCGTGTGCTAGCGCACCTGGGGAATTTGGGAGCTGGAGAGGGGCTTCCTTGTCGCTTTCCCCACCCGTGTTTCCCATGCATAATGGCAAAGGGCTCCTTGATGGCAGCATCAGTTGTTGGCTTCGCCTTCCTCCTCATCAAAAGACTGCACTCCGGACGAGGTAACGTCAGAGACCTTGCGGCTGAGGACAGCGGGCTCTGGCTCCTCCCGCGGGGAAAGGGACTCCAGGTCCCGGCAAACGGCATCGTCCTCCTCCAGCGAGGGCTTCTTGTTCAGGAGCGGGGCCTTCTCCAGCAAGGGGTTCTTTTCCTCCTCCGAGTGGACGCCCACAAAGGTGCTGGATTCAGCACTGCCACCCCCACCGGGGACTGTCTGAGCAGGCCATGCATCCGCGAGGCCGGAATTGGGGAGCAGGGCCTGCTGCAGCTGCTGCTGCTGCTGCTGCTGGAGCTGCAGCAGCTGGTGCTGCTGGATCAGGTTGTTCTGCATAAGGACAGTTTCCTGCAGGCTGGGCTGGGACTCTTCAAAGTTCTGGCCGAGGCAGGAGCCAGCCGCTGGGGAGGCAATGAGGGACTGGTCGCTGGTCTCCCAGGCGTCCGATGAGCCCAGGCAGTACATGCCTTGCGAGACGTAGGAGTGAGGCCAGCTGTCATACTGCGCCTGGGCCAGGTGATCTGCAAAGCGGGGAGAGGAGAGCGGAGGTAGAACAAAGGGCGGAGCCCACGGAAGCCGGAAGGAAAGGAGAGTCTGGGAAGACATCCATGTTTGGGAAAGAGACCATGTTTGGGAATGGGTCCTCCTAGCGTCACCCAGTTGTAGCTTGTTGGTGATGACCTATAAAGCCCTAAACGGCTTGGGTCCTGGTTACCTGAAGGAGTGCTTACATCCATATACGCCCGCCCACCCCCTGAGATCTGCGGGAGAGGCCCTTCTCCGGGAACCCTCTGTGAAAGAAATTAGGAGGGTAGGTACTCGGAGGAGGGCTTTCTCTGCGGTGGCGCCCAATCTATGGAATGCGCTCCCCAGAGAGGTCTGCCTGGCGCCGTCGTTATTTGTTTTTCGGCGCCAGGCGAAGACCGTTTTATTTAAACGTCATTTTAATTGTTAATATTATTTGCTTATTTTATCTGGCCGGGACGACTTATTTTATATTGTTAATTTGTATGTATATTTGAATGTTTTATATTTTAATTTTATGTTGTGAGCCACCCCGAGGCTTCGGCGAATGGGGCGGCATAGAAATGTTTTAAATAAATAAATAAATAAATAAATAATAGCTTGTCAGAGGCATTTGCAGCCTATTATGGTCATTATGGCCTACTTTTCATGGAAGCTGCAAACCTGTAACTATGTACAGTGTACCCCTTCACTGTACCCCTTCAGACCACAGGTAAGGAGGGTCTCATGTTACTGGAAGATCCTCCACCTATGGAAACTATTTGCATGTACATAGCTAGCATGCTGGAGAGAAAGCCAAACCAGGCTAGATCCTTCTAGTCTCCTGTGTGGAAGGATCTGAGCAAGTGGGGGGCAGTGGGGACATCTGGAGGAACACTGTGTTGTGTGGGCCCCTGTAGTCTGGAATGTTATGGCCTGAATACCCAGCCCCCTTTCTGACACCTTTGAAACCTATAGATTCCAGGCAGGACAGAACAGAGGTGGTCAAAGCAGTATTAGTCATGAGCTAGCTAGCATTTATACCATTCCTTAGAACTGAGGCACATTATCTCAGCAGCTCCTCCAACAGTCCTGTAATGTAGGCCATCGTTACTGTCCCTGTAGAGCATATGGGCTTGGGGAATGCGAAGGGCCCCTAGGCTGACCGCAGTTTGATTAAGTCCACTCCTTGTGCAGCTCTTGCTTACAGACCATATTCTGAACCACAGGTAGATCTGAGTTGGGACCATGTGCACTTATATTAGAGAGAAGCAATAAAACATGCTGCAAGGTCTCACTCTTACTCACTGCAGGACACCAGCAGTGCGAAGAGTGGAGCAGGGGACTGTCCCAGGAACAAAACAGAAGGCCAGTGGAGAGCAGGGCTGAGCCGGGCAGTTTCTTCCTCCCCAAATCAGGACAGCTCTGGTCCAGTCCCCAGAGCCACAAAATGTGGTTTTCCAGAGTTCCCCCATTTCTCGCTCGACCTGCTCCCTGCTCCTGAAGCGGGGGAGGAGAGGCCAACACTCACCCTGGTTCTCCATCATCTCCTGGTAGGTCTCATTGTAGTTGCCAGCCTGGTTCTCCTGGTTGGAGTTGACACTCATGTCTTCACCGTCCATGGAAGACCAGGCCATGAGGGTAGCTTCCGAGATCGCAAACTGTTCCATCACCCCTTTGTTACAGACAAACGAGAGAGAAGGATAATGGCGGATGAAGTGACTCCACTGATCCCCCTACACCTGCTGATTCCCAGACATATTTGCTGCCTCATTTCTACCTGCCTCTTGGATCACTCAATGCCCGGCCACGGGAGCCCTTGAGGCACTCAGGCTACAATCCGGTCTAGTGCCTCCACAACAGAGCCTGGACCGATCTTCTGTGTCACTTCACAACCTCCCACCCACGCCACAGAACTTTACATTTGAAAAACTGGCAAACCTCACTGCAGCAGCCTGGTTCCATACTTGAAATCACTAATTACCACTTCACACAGGAAGAAGTTGGAATAAATTAAAACCTTTTAAGCATCCCGATTACAGATGAAGAATCTACACATGAGTAAGAAGCACAGTTTGGAAGCCAACACTGCAAGCCTGCATCAGATGTCCCTTTTCCCTGCTCACGCCCAGATGCCTTTGTGCAGAGCCCTTCTTCACCTTCACTAGCGGCAGCCAGAAATACGGAATGGGAGCGGCAAACTGCAGAGTGGACAGGATGCCAAAAGAAGAGGGGAGCTGCCCCATCCATGCAGAAGGAGAGAGGAGCACAATACGGGGCTGCTCATTCCAGGAGCAATCCCCTCCTCATTCTGTGCATTTCTGTGCTGAGAGTATGGTATTCAAAAAGTATTCAGGAGTGAAGAACACACAGTGGTGGATCTAGCATGTGCCCAGTGTCTCTTCCCTCTCTTCTATGAAAACTTGCTCAGGCTGTTTCTGCTTTTCGCCAGCATGAGAAAGTAGCAGGGGGTTGGAAGCTGGCTGCATACAAGCTTCTCACCGAGAGGCACCGTCAGCTATACAACCTCCTTGATCCACCTATGCAATCCAGAAAGAAGATGCATTTCAGGCTGGGGTGCAGACTCAGTGTCCTGTGGGACTAATCCAGCCCACAGCATTTCGGAGTTCAGCCAGGAGTCAGGGCTTGGCCTGCATCCCCTATCGCCTGGGCAGCGCTGCTGTTCTCTCTGATCTTAGATCAGAATTAACAGAGGAGCATGGACTGTGGGGACTCTGCCAGAGCTGGGAAGAGCGGCTGTTACTCCTAGAACCAGCACATGCCTTCGTGTGGTGTCCACAGGGCAGCACAGCCCCTGCGCAAAGCCAGGGACTCAGCCTGTACAGGGCGAAGCAGCTATTCTCCACTGCCTCTCCCAGCCCAGAGAAAGAAGGAAGACAAAGCAGGGACAGGGCAACGACATCCTCGAGGAATGGCTGGTAGAGTACCTGCAAGGAATCGCGCCTCCTTCTCCCCGTCACTCAGGTCAGAGTAAGCGTCGGCATCCTTCCGGACCGTTTCGTGGGTGTGATGCTGCTGCTGGTTGCTGCCATTGCCCCAGCCCTGCCACTCAATCATGTGTGCGACGCGGCCCTGTCCCATGGCAGTGGGCTTGGTGACATGATCCTTCATGCTGCGGGATATCCCTAAGGCGCCAGACATTGAGAAAACAAGAGGGGCTATTATACAGCTCCAGAGCTGTTGGTCACCTCACGCTGGGAGGCACCTAGTTTGACTCTCTTCTGGTGTACATGACCTACCTTTGCAGGAGTTTTCCAACTGCAGAAATGTGTAGCGTGAGACCCCAGAATTGTACTCGGTTGCCAGCTTTTAACCCAATAATTTATGGACAAGGTCACCATTCATCACATCAGCAGGTCTGCCCCTGAAAACTGTTCGGAAGCTGCAGTTTGTTCAAAAAGTGGCAGACAGACTAGTAAATGGGAGCAGAAGCTCTGCAGAGCCAACACCAATTCTGGTTGCTTGCACTGGCAGCCGATATGCTTCAGAGTCGAAATTCAAACTGATGGTTTCACTCTATAAAGCTTTACATGGCTCACAACTGCAGTATTTCTCAAAATGCCTCTCCTGACTCTACACAGGTGTTATGGTCAACATTTGGAACATTCCTTCAGGTGCCATTTCCAAGGGAGGCTCAGAAGGTGGCCACAAGGAAGAGGGCCTTCTCGGTGATGGCCCTGCAATTCTTAAAGGATTTCCCCATTGAAGCCTGCCTGATGCCAGCACTGTCGTCTTTTCATCACCAGGTTAAGACCACCCACCACTCCCAGACATTGAATGGCATATGATGGAGCATTGATGTCAGCTGTCTTTTTAACAAGCCTACCGTTTTTCACTGCAATTTTCTTTAGCAGCTTACATTGTGTTAAAGGTTGTGCACTGAAATTGTATGCAGCATTTTATAATTTGTACTGCAAACATGCCCAGAGAGCGGCAGCTGTTGGGCAGTACAGACAGGAAAATCATCACCACAGTCGCAAATTAAACTGGACATTGGGGACCAGGGTAAGTGATATCACAGTATTCGGCTAGAATCATGACCTAACTTAGAATTAGCTTGGACCTAAAACTTTTGGAAAATAGGCCACTAATACCAAACAGTCACTGCAGTCTCTTGACAATGTAGTATTTCTATGCATGTTAATGCAGAATTAAGTTTGCTGCTGTAAGAGGTCTCCTTGAAAAACATACCCTTAATCTCAGCTACCTATCCCTCACCATAGGTGTTAATAACTCAAATGATTAAAGTTTATTCAGACCCAGAATTCTGCTTATACAAAAAGAAATAGACAAATTTAGCTTATAATTCCTTTTCTACCTATCACAGAGTTTGCAAAACGCAGATAATCCAGAAACACTTATGAACGGACAATAATCATATTATTTAGCATGTGTTCATGTAGCAGAAGGGTAAAATTTTCTCCAGTTGCTTTACACGCTAACATATAAGCTGCTGATAAAAGGAAGATTGTAAAACGGGGCCTATTCTGCCACTCAGGCCCCTTTCTTGCAACTTGATTAGAGCTTTGCAGAGGTGATCCTGTGTTAGGGCTGGGTCTCCCTGCCTCCTCAATCGAGTCGCTAACTGCCAAGATCTCCAAAGAATGCTTCCCAGGGGTCCAGCTGGGAGTCCTTGCAGCTTGCTACTGCACTTGCCCACAGCCTTCCGAACTAGTTGTGCATGCTCAGAACATTGCCACTGGGTTGCTGGGATTCAGGCACAGCATTTAGCATTCCTGCACTCGTGTTCCAGGGACTGCTTTTTGTCCCCCTACAACACTCCACTTTCCAGCTAGCTTTATCAGAGTTAATTTACTTCAATTGCTCTTTCCTGTGCGGTGGATTCCTGTAGATGCAGAAGACTGCTTTTGTGTGCTGCTACAGAGATTTTCTCATTCTCTGCTTTGCGAGCATGATCTCAGAATAATTTGCCTCAGATTCCCTCCTCCCTTCTGTCCTATGGGTTGCTGGTCGCAGAGGATTCAAAGGACTGCTTGTGTGAATCCACTGGGCAGATCCCTCCCCCATGCACATGCAGTGCTTTCCAAGAATGGTCCTAAAGCTTATGTGCCTCAGTTTCCTCTTTCTTGGGTTGGACTGCTAGCTGCTGTGGATGCAAGGGCCTCCTGGTTCCACCTTTCCATTGATCCCATCAGCTCCAATGGGCACCAGACACCACTGGGCTTTTGGGGAATTTCTTGAATGTGCCACACTTCTATGACTCTCCCTCCAGCACAATTTCTCCGCCCCTCCCACTCCCCATGAATGGAACAGTACTGCACAGATAGCTGAATTAAAAGAAAGAGGCAAATATACACAGAACTTTATGAAAACTACTCATTCAGAGGTGAAGCAGAAGGATGGACCAGCAGACCTTAAAAAGGAAACAAGGTCTGCCACACTTCACCCTCCATATTAGAAAATATATGCTGTTGGCAGAAATACATATCATATAAGATGCACAAGATGATGTGAATGTTGTTCAGGTATTTGTTTGCCTCATTGCACAATATCTTTCTGAGGAGAGTTCTGCCGTTCACACATTATGACGTATCCACCTGTACCAACATGGACATTTATCATGGTGAGGAGTGATATGTGAAGGAGTAATGCCTGAAGAAGTTCCAAAGTATGATGGTACTCAGGGGAACTGATGAGTACATGGCACTCAAGCCTTTAATTTGGGAGAGCAGTGAAGTCTTTTCTTTTTTAATTTTGGCGGCATTTGGGGGAGAGGCAGAAGCAAGGGGATAATGCTAGGATTAATAGGAAGTAAGATAGTTTGGGATCCAAGGGTTTGAGATCCTCACCAGAGAAAGATGACTTAGCTAGAGCTCCGATCCCATATGCATTGGAGTTTCGCTTCAGCTTGGGCAGGATGGAGGTTGTGTCTTCCATGGAGAGCTGAAAAAACAGATTATGTAAAGGAATGAAAAGGTATGAGGGGGAGGAAAGGAGACAATCCAGTCTGGACTTCTAAGAACACAAGGAACAGGGAAAAAGAATAAAACTGAAGGACAAGAAACAAACAAAGATGGAATATTAGTAACGGGACAGAAAACCTGCATGGTGCTTTGTTGGGTGAGGAACTGCCCATGGAAGGACACTGTTCGGGTACATGGTCCATTTGGGATTTTCTGCCATCAAGCACCAACATGTCTGGGAGCAGCCCTGGTGTTATGAACTATATTTGGTGATTGCTCGGGATGCTTCTGACAGCCATTCCTTAAAGTGAGATAGTCATGAGAAAGTAGTAAGTGCCAAAAAAACTGAGATTGTTGATGTGTATATAAAGCACTGCAGAACAAGTGAGAGGATAGGCAGTAGAAGATTAATACTGTTTGTATGCTGGTACAGAAGCTGTATTCAGATGTTCAAAAAGTAGTTCAGCTCAGCATGTGTGGGAAAAGAAAGAGACATGGCCTAAATATGTGTCTGTGTGTGTGAGTGAGTGAGTGAGTGAGTGTGAGTGTAAATGTAACATTTAGCTGTATAGCCTGAAATGCCTGACACCCAGAGAGCTTCAGCTATGGGTGGTATAGAAATGTAATATCATAATAAATGGGACTGAATATCAAAAGGAAAAGGGGAGAACTGAATATTGAGGTTTGCCTGCTGTTTTCTGTGCTAACTTTACTGGTTTATATACGTATTGTTTGGTCACCCTCATTCTCCCACATGTCTCATTCCTGCAGTTCAGCGATTGTGTTATATTACAGGGCTGCTGTGTACTCAGAACACTGTTTGTAAGAATTGAGATTACCTTGAAATATCTCCATGGGAATGTGACATTGTTATTGTATAACTTAAAAACAACAGCACACAGTTCGTCTCCTTCTGTCCTCCAAAGAAACTACAAAATTAGTGCTGCGCTCATGGAAAATCAGTGGATAGGCATGAAAAGCTGTTTTCTTTATTCTGAAAGCTACTTTCCTGATTCTGAAAGCCGCTTTCCTTATTCTTTTCACGAAAATGATCTTTGTTAATGAAGGAAAATGGTTGGAATGCCGTCTTGGAGTGAGGAATGAGGAACATCTTGAAAAAACAACAGACACGTGCCACTAACAATTATGTGGACTCTGTTGCTTTTACTTGCAAAATCTAAACATCCTTGAGGAAAAAAATATCTGAAGTAACTGTAGAAGTTTTAAGTGCCTCTTTAATGGAGTACTGACTTAGTTGTGAAAAGAAAAGGGAACAGAAGAGGAGTCACTGGTATATTGTGCTCTGACTGCACGGGTCGTGCGTAAGAGCGAGCACTGCAGCAGGCCCGATGGCTTAGCTCCCCCAGCAGTAAGGGTGCATCATTGCTGGACGGCTGCCTGCGTCTCCTGGGCCTGCCCGAATACCCTCCGGCTGGCCACAGTGGTATCCCGTTCAGGTGCTGAACTTAGGGGCTGGCACAGCGGTGGCATCAGTGGTGCGTGTGCACATACATGTGTACATCTGCATGGGCTCACCAACTGGCTCCAGGCCACCCAACGGGCTCCAAGACTTGCTCGATAGCAACAGGCCTCAAGCCCCACCGCCACTCTTCACAGAAACCAAACAGCATTCATTTCAGCAGGAATTAAAGACACCTGCATACAAATGGAGGGACATTGCCGAGCTTGTCTAACCAGGGGAGCCCATTCCTTTAATTCACACACAGGCAAGGAGTATGGCCATAAGTGGACCATAATCAGCAGAAAATTCTTATCGACAAAATCTGCAGCAACTCTTCTGGTGCACTGTTACAATTCTTCCTTCATACCTCTATGTTGCTCTTTGGTCACAGTATATTTTTGCAAGATGCTTGCTTGAGAACAAACTTGTGGCCTTTTGCATTTCAGTTAAGGACGGCCTGCAAACCTACCTTTATTTGAGAGCAACTGCATTAAATTCACTGAGGGACAACTGCATGGCATTTTAAGGAGAAGCAACTTGGAGCTCTAAACCAGAGCATATTCCTAGCGTGGATTAGACCTTTGCACCGTTTTCTCATTTAATATGTCTTCCTGCTGCCATTATTAGCAGCCTAGTGGGACTTTGGATGGGAAATCATTGCAAGACTGTGAGCATGGTGCTAGATCAGGGCTCACAGCTGTTTCGCCTTCCAAATAAAACTGCCGAGGGTTTTTTTAAATGCCACATGTAACTCAGCTTCACCAGAAAACATGCAGAAGACTGGGCATAAAAATAACAGAGCCACCTAGTGGTTATAGCAGAGAGAGCACCTGAAGAAGGTTCAAATCAACACTGTGTGAAGATCATTTTGTGGCTTTGAGAAAGTCAATATAACTTTGACTCGCTGCACCCCAGACTACTGTGATAACTAAGTGGGGTTGATCCGTGTTATATATTCTGAACTCTTCTTGAGTACAGATTGATTTGAGGCTATTTTCTTTATAGGACTATCTGTTTCTGAATGGACCTCTGGAAAAGCAAAACCTATCATCTTTTTATCTAGATGGAATTAGATTGCTTTCATGTGGATATCTATTTTAAGACTCCCCTCATGGACAACAAAGATGGCTTTTGTACCTTGAGTATTTTCTAGCAGCGACTCTCCGACAGTGTGGGGGCTACTGGAATAAATGGCATCCAAATTTTTTAAACTAAAGTGCCCAAGGGTTAGGGTTCCTGCTCTGTTCTTACAAGCTGTCAAGATGTATTGATTTATCTAAGAAATTATGTTTGAATGAGTTTGAACAAAGCGTCTTTTATTTGAAAAGTACTGGGTGAAAACAGGAGGAGTGAAAAGAAGGAGATGGATAAGGGAAGTGTGCTATGGGATGTTGTCACCCAGAAGTCCTCAAAATCTTTACAATCCTTAAGCAAACCAACACCAGAAGTATTATGTCACCCAGCTTGTTTAATTTATTGTATTTATATCCTTCCTTTTCTCCTTTCAAGGAACTCAAGGCAGCTTATGTATTTCACGTCCTCTCAATCTTATCCTGGGAGGTAGGTTGGGCTGAGAGTCTGTGACTGGTCCCAAGTCCCCCAGTGAGCTCCATGGCTGAGTGGGGACTAGAACCGGGTCTCCTGGATCCTCAGTCTAGCCACCACACTCATTTGCTAATTCATCCTCTGTGTGAACTCTGGCCTGATACGTCTGAATTCACAAACCAGAGTCACAGACAGTGCTATCCACCTGTTGTTGACAGGAAATAACTTATGGCAAATGGGCAAACAGGTCTAAGCCATGGTTTGCCTGTTTAGAGTTGGAAGTCCAAATCATGGTCTTAGTTTTAAACTACTGCTAATGCAAACCATGTTTTGGCATGATGTCAGAACAGCAAATGTGTCAGGAGGTTATCAAAACAAATAAATAAATGGTGTTACCTCCTTCATTGTGGTAGAATAATGGTTCAATAAATATGAAAAGTTAAATGCAATTGTATGAGACAGTAAGTTATGCTGGTACTGGATCTATCATAATTGAGGAAAACTGTCAGATTATGCTTGCAAATTACAGTACTGATATGCTGCAGAGAAGTCCTTTAACAATGTAAAACTCACACTGATGATAAATATCCATTCTCCTATCCACCTAATTTAACAGCAAGTGTAGCTCTTTAGAAACCAGATCTCTGCCTCTGGATAACCACTGAAGTCCAGTGGAGGGGAGGGCGGTGAAGAAGGTCCATTGCAAGTCCCATGGGGAGAATTGGGCCACCTGCAAACCCACTGACAGGCTGCAGGGCCAATTTGCATTTGATATGGGAAAACGGTTACATTGTTCTGCAAGTTCACAAAGCATCCAGCTATTCTCCAGATAAATTATGTCTCTTACGAGGAGCAGGAAAATGCCCAACTCAAGCTATAAGCCAAAGTCTTCTTGCAGTAAGATGGGCTCCTGACATACCTCAGCACTCATGAGCAGGCTTAGGGGGATGGAGGCTATACTCACATTGATGCCATCCCAGGAGAAATCTGTCCGTGTTTGCTACGGAGAAAGAAACAGCATGTTGGCATCATACACAAGATGTTGGTATGCACACGTAGCTTGCTCTCTTTCACTGTCGACCTTCACAGTTACGACACTTGGAACACAAGCTTAGGACCATGATAAGCCGTCTATATGGACACGGGCTATTTCAAAATCCCACTCCTGAGCTCAAAGATGCTCTGACCCAAGCTCACAGCTGGGTCTCTGCACTGGAGTGTCCTTCCTCCACCTGCACAGCCAGTGTGCTTCTTTCTGCCCTGGCTGCGGCTTTGAGGTCGCAAGGCCAACCTCGGAGTCAGTGTTAGAGGGGTGCGGAGGAAGGGAAGGGAAGGGAAGGGAAGGACAGTGCCTGGCAGTGCCTCTGGCTCTTCTCCTCATGAGCCACTGTAAAACACATACACGGACAAAATTGGTCAGCTGTTTTGAAGGGCAGCAGGAGTGATGAGGAAATCATGCCTCTGTGCTCCTTCCACCCTCTGCTGGAAGCCCACAATCCTCTGAGTGTGGAGTTATGGGCAGCCACACTGGATGGCGTTAATCATACAGGAAAATGCTCTGTGTGAGTGGTGGGGGCATGCGCCTTTGGCAAAGAACATCCTCAGCCCAGTTTTGTTCTTGATGGCCCTAGTTCCATGTGTGTGTAGACATCGTTTGTTACATAAAGAATGAAAATGATGCAGGCACAAAGAGAAGAACACACAGAGAAAGCGAGAAGCACAGATGCAAGGAATATACATGACTCTTCTGGGATAGAAGCCCCACGCTGTTCAAACGCCTTTTGTGGTTGAATGCCAGATAACTGACACCAGCAGACGTACATTCAGAGGGGATGAATGTGCAAGATTAAAAGCTTACGCACAATAGCAGTGGATGATTAAGAGCATATAGATTTATAGAACAACAGGGTGCTTTCTCTGGTTTAGGGCTAAAGACTCTCTTTCTCTCCCTACCCTACTTCCCCCTAATATTCTTCCATCTTTTTTTACATTCCTTCTTGCTCTTTTAGTTCTGCCGGTTCCAATTCCTGCTCCTGACTGCTGTTTTTCTTACGTTCTTGCCCACCCATTTTCTCTTGCAGCACCTTGCTTGCAGAATACAGTTTCTCTGTACATCTGCTCTGCAGCATCTATCCTCACTTTAAAACTTTCCTTTTTGCTAATGAATACCCCACTCCACAGAACAGTTTCTCCTAGCAACTCATCTTTAATTTCTCCTTTCACTTTCCCTCATGTTCTCACCCCATACAGACATATAGATATATGACTTTTATCCTGCCCCATTTGCCAAAAGGTTCCCTGGGCGAGTTACACATTGCAAACTTGCAGGCGCTAATGTGGACCCAGTCCAGATGCAGCCCTCCGAAAACGAGAGGTTAACATGCAACTAGTTTGGGACTGTGAGTGCAACTGAGAGATGCCAGTGGAATTGTTTGGAAATGCATTCAGATATGCACAAGAAAGCACATCCAGTTCATCAAAATCCAGCTGATGATGTATGTGTGCAGGCCTGCTTCGGTGCACCCATCTCTTTAGCTGGGTAGAGCTGTTTTTCCAGTTACCCTAGGGACTGCACCTGCTGAAGACACCTGATAACTAATAAAGAGCACTGCTAGCAAACTAGTTGCTCGGTCAGGTGGGACACCGCAGAGACTGTGCTTTACAAAGAGAAGGGCTCCATCATTCGGCCCCGGCTGCTCAAGTGGAAAGCATCTCAGAGGGCCATGCCAGGGTGAACCTCCTCCTGAGATTCTGGAGGAAAGGCTGGCAGACAATTCTGGCATAAACGGGCCAATGCTCTGCCTATCCCAGATCGTACCAAGGCACTGCCTATTCCAGCTGTTAGCTTCCAACAATGGCCAAGGGACCATCTGGAAGCACAACAAGGCAGAGCCAAATGTGCCACTGCTCTGGCCAGGCTAACGCTACTGTGTGTGGTAGCAGCTGGAGAGAGCTTACTGACACCAACCAGCACCCCACAAAGACAGGGATTTTTGGAGTCAAGTGCTACAGGGATCCATCAAAACAGAACTCTCCACCTTTTGTTCCTTTTGCAATTTGTAAAACAATAAAATTTAGTAAAATAAAATTGCTAATAGTTTACAAAATAGATGTAATCTCTAGAAAGATTAAAGATGTCACACAATTTCACTCACTGAAGTTTGTTGGATTCGCACACACGAAATTACAAATGATGTGCTAGCTGCCTTCAAAATAAAACAGTACAGGGTGCCTTGCCTTTTGCCTCGAGGCTTCATGAGGAATGGGTAGTGGGCCACAAAGACTCGCTCACTCTTCCCTCCCTCTGCATTAAGTTCTCATCACCCCCTCCCCACAGGCACTGAGAACCGTTCTTCTAATACCCCAAAAGCTGGGCAGGTGGGGTGCACAATATCAGGGTGAGGAGGATCCGTGCTTTCTGTGCCCTTCCCATCCCATTTAAATTACGCTCCACAAAGACTGCCAAACAGCTCGGTCATCTGAACCGACTCATGCGCTACCTGGCCCACCACTAAGGTGAGCAGAAGAGGAAATCTGCTGGTGGTCGCACAGGTTTTGTAATGACTTTATAGCACAAGCAGGAGCATCTTCTCTGGGCATCCAGAGCAATGCAAGGAGATAATACAAAGAACATAAGTGTTGTCCACACGCATCTAAACCATTGGATATAGATTGAGATCATTTTGCTCTTGCAAGGAACCCATTGCAGCTCAGACGGTCTTCCTCCTTACCATTTTATTCTTCATGGAACATTCCCGATATGTTTCAAGGACTCATGTTTCCATTATACTCATATTTTGAAACAATTATTTTATTTTTAAATACTTTGGTTTCCAAATAAACTGACTTTAGCCAAAATAAGGATCCCAGAAGATCCCTGAATCATGCCAGAAAGAAATCAAGCCTCTTTTGACTATTTGAGACTCAAAATTTCTATTGCAGATGACACCCTAGGTAAGTACCTGAGGTTTCTATCATAGTAGTCAGTGGGTTCTCTCTATGGTTGATGTTTTCCTTCTCTCTTCTCTGCAGGCAGGGAATAGGCGCTTACCTCAGTGGAAGGTCGGTGGATGCTGCTGCCATGGAGTGAGCTGGTGCTATCCATATTGATCTGGTCCACATCTTTCAGTCCTTTCCAGTCCACGGCAATCACCTCGTTTCCTGCAGCGACACAAAAGGTAATCAGACATCCTGCAGCCATCAGGAGAGCTTTCATTCCAGGATGTCCACTGCATGGGAATGTCCACTCTGTTGTAAAGCCACAACAATTATTGTCATTCACAAAACTCCGGGCCCAGATGGGCTACCAGCAGAGTTCTATAAAGCTTTTGAAGGAATCCTGCGTATGCCTTTTAAGGATATATGTAACACGGTGTTGTTAGATACTAAAATACCGAATACTTGGACAGAGGCAAATATTACTTTAATACCAAAAGAATTACTTTAATATCGGACTTGACACAGATCCAGAATTATAGACCTATATCACTTTTAAATGTGGATTACAAAATCTTTGCCTTGGTAATGGCAGAAAGACTGAAGAAGTATTTAACAGACTTTATACATCCAGATCAAAATGACTTTTTACCTAAAAGGCAAATGAGGAACAACATGAGAATTATTTTGGATATTTTAGAGTATTATGAGGTCCACTCTGAAAAACCAATGGCGCTATTATTTTTGGATGCACAGAAGGCCTTTGATAATGTTAACTGGCAATTCATGAAACATCAATTAGTGCAAATGGAATTTGGTGAAAAAATTATTAATGCAATAACAAGCATTTATCAAAAACAGACTGCCCGGATTATAATTAATGGAGAACTTACAAATACTATAGATATTCAAAAAGGCACAAGAAAAGGATGTCCTTAATCACCATCGTTATTTATATTGATTTTAGAAGTGTTAAATAGAAATATTAGAGAATATATGGATATTAAAGGCACTAGAATTAGAGATGAAAGCTATAAATTGAAAGCATTTGCAGATGATTTAGTTTTTATTCTTGAGGAACCCTTGGTAACAATGTCTAAACTTTTACAAAAGATAGAAGAATATGGTGAAGTTACTGGGATGAAAATAAACAGAGAGAAGACAAAACTGCTAGTGAAAAATCTTACCTTGGAGCAGAGAAAAAATCTGATGGAACAAGTAGATCTTCAAATTGTTAAAAAGGTTAAATATTTGGGAATTTTTCTTACAGCTAAATGCACTACATTGAAAGAAGATAACTATGATAAATTATTTAAGGAAATTAAGAGTGACTTGGAAAAATGGGTTAATTTGCAATTATCTTTGCTGGAAAGAACAGCAATAGTTAAAATGAATATATTACCAAAGTTTATATTTTTATTTCAAACAATTCCCATAAAAATTGATAAAATTTTTTTGATGATCTAAATACCCAAATTTCGAGATTTGTGTGGAAAAAGAAGAAACCAAGGATTAAATTAAAAATGCTTCAGGAGACCAGAGGGAATGGGGGTTTTGGTCTTTCTGATTGGATGTTGTATTATCAAGCTTCTGCCTTAACATGCCTAAAAGAATGGATAACTTTAAGAAATAAGAGAATTCTGTATCTTGAAGGGCATGACTTGCAAATAGGTTGGCACGCCTATATGTGGTATGAGAAGTGTAAGACACATGGTTGTTTTTTAAATCATTACATTAGAAAATCATTAATGTCGGTGTGGGAAAAGCTAAAGACAAAACTGTATACTAAATTACCAAGATGGCTTCCGCCTATCTCGTATACCCAAATGCACTGAATTTTGATATGATTGTGAGATATGATGATATTCTGGATAATGATGGAGGATTGAAACTGAATCAAGAACTACAAGAGCAAGGAATTAACATCTCTTGGTGGCATATTAATTCAATTGCATTAGTTCAAATGCAATCGAGATATGTCAAAGATTATAAAATGTGGGGTTTTTATAATGAGTTAACAATATTTGACCATGTGATTTTAAAATCAGATGAGAAAATGATTAAAAGATTGTATAATTTTCTTTTGGATAAGAGAATGGAAGATGAACAAGTTAAGGAAACTATGATAATGTGGACACAAAACTTTGGATACAATATTGAGCTAAAGAAATGGCAAAAGCTGCAGGAAAGAAATATTAAAGTAACATTAGCAACCTCATCTAAAGAAAATCTGTAAAAAATGTTTTATAGATGGTATCTATCACCAAATAGATAAGCTAAGATGTTTCCAAACATGTCAAATGGATGTTGGAAATGCAAACATAAACCTTTTATCATATGTGGTGGGCCTGTGATAAGGCAAAAAAATACTGGGTTAAAATACACAAATGGCTTGAGGAAATGTTACGAAAACCTCTAATATTTAAACCTGAAGTCTTCTTATTAGGCATTGTACCTGATGATGTTGGTAATAAAGCAATGTATCTGATTCTACATGTAACTACTGCGACGAGGCGAGGATTGCATTTGCCCAACATTGGAGGAGTGAAGAACCACCTACTGACGAACTGAGTCTAAAAAAGATCTTGGACTGTGTGGAAATGGACAGATTGACTTTGTCTCTGAAGGAGAAAGAGGATACAGACTTCTATCAAACTTGGAACTCCTTTTATTATTGGCTAGAGAAACAGGACTATGCATAGACTTAAATATGTCTATGGATTATTATAAAAAGAAAAAATATGGGGGGCTGACCCAGTAGGTCTGATGCTTTTGATGATTGATGTTTTTTAGTTTCTTTTTGTTAGTTAGTAGAAAATAACAATAAAACTTATTTTAAAAAAACACAATTATTGTCATTCAGTGGGAATTTCTGAGCTTCGCTTAGCTCGCACTTTTATTACAATGAGAAAAAAGTTACTAAGTAGTAACAAATATCATAATTTACTTCTCCACCTTACAAGCTTCTTAGAAGTGTGTACAATACAACTAAGACTCAAGGATTGTTTTCCAAATGTCCCAGGGTCCAGTATTTACTGAAGACAAGAATAAGATGACTCTCTTTCAGGGCAAAATACCAATTAAGCATTTTGGTATTGCAAAATATTAACTGGTACAACACATCAGCACTGTTTTAAAATATTGATAGTAAATATAGGTGACCAATAATATTATGGATGTAAATAGATTATTAAATGATTATTAAATGAACATGGACACCACTGTGGGTGGGCGGGCAGACAGACCTTTCCATAGGCTGTGCCACTCTTTCCCCCACCTCAGAACAAGCTCAGCTGCCCCCTGACCTCACACTTCATTTGCCAGGTCTTCTTGACAGCAGTCCCAGCACAAAGATATCCATCATCTGTCTTGCTCCTTTGGGCAGACTATCTGCCTTTTAAATTTTTGCAAAATCACAGTGTCAGTGCCCATGCTTTTGAACATGATTGTGTTGCTCTTAATATATTAAAATCAAACTGATTTTAAAATAGCTGTAAAATAGTTTGGGGAAGTGTTGACGGCTTTGGGTCATCGCAAGTGCCAGCCAATTATTGCTGTTTGCAGCCCATTTCAACTACAACCTGGCAGGATCCATTTTTCCTGTGAGCTTGTCCTTGAGCAAGGAGTTTCCCTCTAGAGAACCTAGCAGGTGCACACTCACTCAGCTGCTTAAAGAATGAACATCTGTACACACTCACAATGCCAATTATGCACAATCTCAGTCTCAATCTATGGACAGAGAGCGATTTCAACACAAATGGTTACTTCATTATACAGGCGGCCGATATATTTTGCTTATCAGAAAAGTCTTCATAAAAATAAATCCATGGGACATACATGTGCCCTGGCAGTAGAAGCCCTGCTTTGGGTGGCTGCTGTTCTCATCTGGCACAAAGAAATAATCTCACTTGACTCCCTTACTTGAACTAGTACACAGGCTGGCAGAGTCGAATAAAACGACTGAAAAACCGATGGGAGAATCTGGCTATTCCTGGTTCACACACTTCCATACGTTTTGGGGCATAAGTCCACTCATTCCATTTCCACAGTAATTAACTTAATGCACATACAGGCACATGCGTGTTTTTCATCAAGCATCCCAAGCCTGAAAAGGGAGTTTAAACAAGATAAATAAGAGCTTCGGCTACTGGGTAGTTTAAATGTAATAAATACACGAAGACTGGTTGATTGATCAAAAGACATGCAGATTGAACAATATATAGCCAAATCTTTAGAAAGGCTGTCCTAATTCCACTGCATATATGTAAGCCAGTTATTAAGACATGGGTAAGCCAATTTCTAGGAGGGAATTGCAAACTAAGAAGCACGTGCGCAAGAGTGTATCTCCCACACTGTGCACCATGGTTTAGAATTGACACACTGCCACATTCACAGGTGCTGTGGTAGGGGCAGGAGGGAGACACAAAAGAGCTGCAACTTTGTCCGGAAAACTGGCAATGATGATTGTAAATTCATGACTCTGATGAATGCTTGAGAGTAACATTTTCAGTGACATTTCAGGAATTTTTGGTCCTAATTGTTGGTCAAGGAAATCAGAGGCAAAAGTCTTCACTTGTATGGCTGAATGGAGACTTACCAAGGCTTTGTAGTGTCAAGAGTGAACAAAAACCATCCAAAGAGAGTCCACTGGGGGTGTACCCTCAAAAGAACATTTACAGTTTGTTTATACAGGAAATACATGTGGCGTGTAGGAAGTCCCCAAAGGGTCTACAAAGATGGAGTCTGTACAAGAAGCTTTTATAACCTACCAGCTGCACACAGTTTGGCGGAGGGGTAGAGGATCAAGCAGGGGATCACATAGGCAGTCTGCTAATGGCACACAGAATAAAACAGTAAGGGATCGATACAATACAAAAGAGAACCTTCAGGAAAACTTTGTTGCTGTAACCCACCCAGTGAGCCATATGGCTAATGGGCAGGCTAGAAATTTAAACAAACAAATAAAGGCAGACATTAACATGTCGAAGGAGCACCTGGGAAGCAAGACTTGTAGCCTGGATTCCTGACCTAAGAGTGCACCTCCAGAGAACAGGCAAGCAAGAAGCATTTCTAAGGTACACATGGGGAGCAAGACTTGCAGCATGGATTCCTGATGAGAACCCAACTCCCATGTTTAGACTTATAGCTGTTCTTACCATGTCAGGCTTTCAGCGGCCATTTTGTGGCAAAGTGTTCGT